TCCAACAATCGTCCAGCAATCGCATTGCGTTAGGCGGAGCTCTTCGTAGCGCCTTTATGTAGTCTATATCATGAACAAGATAGGGTTTTAAAGTCTCTATAGCACCAAATATAGGCAAGACACCCTCCTTTCGAGGAGAGACTGCTGATGCCCCTGTTTAATCCATTAGTTTGCGAATAATACACTGTAGCTATATATAGGAATTGTTCGTAATATTGTACTTCGATCATCTATGTCAATAACGAATTTTATTTAAGGGGGCCGACTATAGTTTCCATTGCGCAATATTTCGCGCATCATAGTAAAATGAAGCGTATTTACTGTTTTAATGGAACTTTTTTCGCTTAATTATTAAAATAAAACAAAATTAAGAAATTATAGGTAAAAAAATGTAATTACAATTTGATATAACTGATTTTTTAACCGATTTTGCAATTGATAGGTAGGTTGACGTCGTTGCAATGTGTTTTTGACGTTATGATAATCTGTAGCTCTTAAAGAAAGGGGTAATAAAAATATTATTAAAGAAAAAGTAATATACATACGCTCTTGAAATTTAAAACATAGAAATATGAGAAAATCTCCAATATTTTTATCATATTTTTATGTGAATCCATTGTGTACGTCATATTTTGTAATACTCTATAAAAATAGTAAAATTTGCTAATTTTTTGCATTTTGAGATGTCCCCTCTGGTATAAAGACGGTAGAATTTTGAGTTTCTTACATATATTGTATAATATAGTATTACTCATCAAATATTATAGTTTGAATAAAATGTCTATTGTAGTATTTGTATAATTTGCATTAAAGTGCTAAAAATTGGTATTTTCCTATATAATCCTATAGTAAATGTACCTGCATCTTGAGACGGTCCCTCAAAAATACCTGTACGGTAGATTTCCCCCAAATTTTGCATGTACACTGAAGTTAATGTAAGTTTTATATGGTATAAAAATGAAGAGTTTTGCTATTGTAGTTTTCACACAATAAAACTATAGTCGGCCCCCTTAAAAAACCGGGCATCACCGACAAAAGATTTCATCAATGACATTCATTCATCCAATTTCATACACGATTCTAGAAATTTTGGAAAAGGTGGGTTTTGGTTGATGGTGGGTCTACTCCTCGCAACTTACAAGTTTTGAATTTCCAAGCCGGGGGGGGGGGGGGGGTTAAATTGTTTAAGTTGATTAATGGTTCGCTTAAAAAAATCCATCCCCAAGCGGAGAAAGGGCTCAAAACAGCAACTAGATCCGCGCACTCGTTTTCATTTTGAATTTCATGCCTTTAGGCAAACTCAGTATATTAGTATATTAGGTCAAGCTTAACAAAGCCCTTGTTTGCTGTTGCCGACCTTAATTATTTTTTGGAGTGGCCAGGCATAGGTAGGTAGATTTTTTTTATTTTTAGTTTTCAGTTATTTGTTAGATACATCAAGTTATTTTTTTTTTTTTAAAGTTTACTCAACATAAATAAGATCCATTTAATAAAAGCCACTGATTGATAAAAACAAAATCAAAACTAGAAAATGAAACATTTTTAGTATTCTAACACTTAAAACTTAAAAAAAATATAGAAAATGGCTGAAAAAAGCTTGGATTTTGCATATCGCTGGGGGGGGGGGGGCAACTGCAATCAAACAAAATATATTTCAAAATGTTTATTTCTTTATAGATGTATGTGTATAAAACAGAATATTTCAAAACATCAAAGTATGAAAGACCTCTACAAATATAAAACACTTATTATAATTTATATTTAAACTAGTTAAAACATACTCTCTGTAGAACAATGTATTTAAATTGATATAAATTTATAACTTAAATAAAATTTTGCAAAATTTTAGTCCAAATATGACATTGTTATCATTACAGTTCAGTTGGTCATGAAATTTAAATTTGATAACATACATGTACATCCCCCTTCCCTTTGACCAACTTTAAGTTGCTGTTAGGTCTACAAGTAGCACTCGCAAATTCCAGGATTTAGACAGTCAATTGTTTTGTTTCTTAGCCTGATAGATAATTTTGGGAATGTTGTCACCCCGTTTTCGGACACTAGTTTTTTCCTCGTTTTTGCCCATCAGATTTTTTTAGGGGTGGGGAGGGGGGGGGGGGGTCCTCACATACACACTTTGAAACCGTTACTACGGACCTGAACTTGATAAATTTATCAACATAGGCCCCTATTTTTTTTTCATTTTAAAACTTGATAGATTCATCAACATATTTTTTTCATTTTAAAACTTGATAAATTCATCAACATATTTTTTTCATTCTAAAATGAATTTTCAGTTTTTGGTTTATTATAAATAACAACTTGAGTAGCTCCCATCATGGGGTGTTGTCATGTTTTGCCGCGCTGCTACTTTATTAAGAATAGTTACCGCCCTTGACTTCAGAACTCTTTTGTACCTCTCGGATGCTAATGACGCATGACGTCTGACAAAAAGATGAAGCCTAGTCAAATGGATGTTTCGCAGACTATATAACAAATT